AAAAACATCCAACCAAAAATATATTAAAATGTTAGAATTAAAAACATGCATCCCTGATTTTTTTGGAATTTTTGAATTAATGGAAGTATTAAAATAAAAATCAAACAAAACAAATAACAATTAAAACATTATTTAAGGGCAAAAATGCAAACCCTAGCCAAAAGTCACAATAAGGTCAAAATAAAAATATATTCAGAGTCTATGATTAAAAACAAGCTTGTATGATTTTTTTTAGAATTTTTGTATTAAGGGAAGTATTAAAATAAAAATTATGAAGCAAAAATTCAAAATAAACTTCTCAAATTAAATTTCTAATAAAAAATAGAAAAAATGCTAAATAAATTTCAGAATCAAATTCTACATTATTTTATGAGTCCAAGATATTTTTTGTGGAATTTTTAGATCAAAGGAACTATTAAAATAAAAATAATATTTGAACAATCAATTAATTAAACCTATGAATTTTTAAACCAATCAAATCATTTTTAAAAAAATTCAAAAAAAAAAATGACAAATACTAGAAATTATCATTGTCCTATGGTAATTTTTTCATGATTTTTGAAAATGTTTTGATCACAAAAATAAAATCAGAAAATCAAATAAAATCAAAAATATGAAAAATGCATTAAAAATCACATGGACCAATCAGATCCATCCACGCCATCATCTTCAACCTCCGGACCAACTTAAAACGCGCGCAAGACTTTTTCTAGAGCTCATGTTCAGGTCCATCATACATACTCATTTCTCCACCAAAATCAATGATTCCAATCACAAATCAAAGTTCAAACTACCAACTACATCATGCTTTTTACAAAATTCAAAATGATTGACCATGGAAGTAGAAATCAGAGCAAGAAAATTGAGAAAATCATTAAATCTTGAAAAACCAGAAGTTCACCAAATTGCATATGCTTCAAAATCAAACAAGTCTATACATCAGATGTAAGATCTGGCCAGCTATGAACATGATCACAAGCTTTAAATCACATGAAACAAGCAAAATTATGGAGAATCAAGATCTGAAAATTACCTTTCGAGTTGAGAAATAAACTCAACTATGGCCTCTGAAATAAAGCGAAAACCCTTGTCCCTTGCTTCTAATGCTCCAATGAAGTGAAAATGGTCATGAATCGAGCTCTAGAATAGAGAATAAAGGAGCTTCGGAGCAGGAAATTTTTGAGAGAGAGAGAGAGAGAGATTGCAGCTTCTAATTTTTTGAGAGAATGAATGCGTGCCTTAAAAGGGAGTGAAATATGGCTAATATAAAGTGACTGCTGAGGGTAGAAGGGTCTTTGAAAAGCTCAAGTCCGTTAGAAGCAGAATTTGCAAAAAACAGAAAAATGAAGATTGTCCAAATGGTGATGCGTTTTGTTTCTACTTATGCCCAGCCTAGAAGTCGTTTTGGTGATGTCATGTTGAGTGGAATTTTGAGCAAAGCATGTGCACTTGGTGAGCTGGTTATGTTAACAATAACCTAAACTGAAGTTGTGCAAAAATCTACAACATGGGCATGGTTTTCCAATAATCTGGCTAGCTGACTTTATGCTTAGGACATTTGAAATTCCTTCGTGCGTTTTGGATGCTTGAGGGGCCTTTCAAGAGCTCTCATAATATAGAACATCTTAGGGCTTTGAATTTTCCAAATTGATGATGACTTGATGGAGAAATGATGTTGCAAACTTGAGGCAAAAATGCAAATTGGCCTACCTAGTCCGCGCGTGTGCATGGGCATGCATGGTGTGCATGAAGCCAGCTTTGAGATACCAACTTTGAAGCATCACAACTCATTCAATTCTTGGCCAAATTGAATGATTCAAATTTCAATGGGAAGCTCTCATGGGAGACTACAAAATGCTCTTTTTAATTTTTCAAATTAAGGCTTGAGTCATAAGAAATTGATTCCACAAAATGGCATGCCAAGTGTTTGATGAAATTACGCGCGTGGCTTGCCTAAGAGAAGTCATCTTGGCACTTAGAATTTTTTTAAATTTTTAAGTTACTTCTTGAACAAGTTACACTCAAATTCACCATTTCTAATGATTCAAAGATGAATTTAGGTATGGGATATGAAAAGAGGATGCTTAAATTGATGGTTGACCAAAAGTCCACTTGGTCAACTCCGGATTTTACTGACTTTGATCAAAATGACCAATTTGCCCTTTTTGATCAATTGAATCATTTTCATTCCAAATTGAACCTCAATTTTCCAATCATAAGTGCTTAATAACATGTTATGAATCATGGAAACAAGTTTGGGTGAAAAAGTCAGAGAAATCCTGATTAAATCCAAAACCCTAGTTTTGTGCCATGTGCTAGGAGATAGCTGATCAAGCTTTAAAACCCTAATTCCACTGAGTATCATGAGAGACTTCTTGATTAAATTTGATTACAATAATGATAAGATAGTGATGCTTCATGAATTGGCTCATCTAGACCCCAATTACTTCAACTTGGACCAAACCCTAATTTTGACTGATTCCTCAAAGGAGAGTGATAAATCATCTTCAAAACTTCACATCCTCTAGATATCTTGACCAATTTCTTGTACAAAGACTTTCCAAATACCAATGAGATATTGTGACTTCAAAATCAAGACTTGCTCATTGATCAATAACCTTGATCAAGCAAAACCCTAATTTGACTGGTGAATCAAAAGAGTGATTCCCCTTGTAATCAAACACAAACTTCAATCCTCTGATGATCCAAAGAGATGGATAGAAAATCTTGAGATGTGTAATAACTTTTGAGCTTGAAAGATCCAGAGGTTTAGATGATAAGATTCTACTTGAGCAATTTGTCAATGCAAACAACCTTCAAAACTTGAGGAAGACTTGATAACCAAAGTACTTTGATCCCATCACAATGTATGAATGCAATGCAATATGATATTCATGATGAAACATAAGCCTAAATCAAGAGGGTAAATTTTGGGGTGCAACAAGTATCAGATGATGTCAGCATACGGGAATTAGCATTGTGTATAGGGATACATGACATGGTTCTTTAACGTGTCACACCATATCATGACACCAGATGGTCCAGGATGTCCACCTAGGCCAGCTCATGAGGAGTTCTTGGAGAACAAGCAGGCCGATAATTAGATGGTGGGATGGATGCAATGGTGATCACCTACAATATGAACAAAGAGACATATATACACATATTAAGGTTAGATAAAAGAATACTTGTACAAGATATACAATTCAAGGTGCTTGGTAATCTCTTAAGAGTAAACTTAAAGATAGGATAAAGAGAGAAACAATCCTAATGTGTGTGTGTCTTGATGCATTGTGACATGAGATGATGAGAAATCTTAGGGGCAAAAATTGGTGTATAACACTATGTTATCAAATAAGAATAAAATTCATCAAATTTGGACAATAACTTTGGGTTTAATATACAAAAATAAGATTAGAGAAAAGTGGAATAAGAAAAACATAAAATAGTAACATAAAACAATATCGAAAATATTATAATGATACAAAAAAATATAGGAGATAAAAGATTAGAGAAGATGAAAAGGAAATAACAGAAGAGAGGAGAGATTAGATAACAAAATGTGCATTAAAAACGTAATTTGAAGAGAGAACGATAGAATAAAAATAAGAAGATGAAAAAGAAATAACTTAAGAGATGAAATAATAGAAAAGAAAATGTGAAGTTATTCTCACATATTTATACACCAAACAACTCATAAATCTAAATAATATAGAATTTCAAACAAACAAACTTCAACAACACAAATATCAACTTCAACACACACTTCCCACACAAACTTATTACCCAAATATATTCCATTCATATTTCCCAAACTCAACTTTCACTCACCAACATCATCTACATCTGAAACAGAAGCTTAAAGCTAAAAAATAAATCGATTAATCACATTAAGTGATTCGAGTTACGAAGCTAGCGGTGGATGAATGAAGACCAACTATATATTTAGATTTTTCATACAAATATATAACCCTTCTCTTAAATGTAACCAATTTTCCTTTTCATACATATATTTTCCTTTAATTTTTTAATCCAACTTTCAATCTAGGATAGCAAAACCCTTCTCTTACAAATCAAAAGATTAATTTTAACAAAAATAGTACTGTGGCCCTAATAGTAAGTAGCATTGTGGCATGCATTCTCAACAAAATCCCAATACATGGAAAACAAATATTCCAAAAATTAATTTTGCGAGTATTTCTAAAAATACATTTTGAAATAAATTTAATCATAAAAATGAAACATAATGCAAAAACGAATGATTTATATATATTAGTTGCATTCAAAAATACATTTTCAAAATTTAAAGATATTTTTAGAATTTTACGAGATACGTTAGATAAATATATGGTGCATTAAAAAAATCTTCAAATCACAATCAATCAATGATGACAAGGGCTGATCGGTCTAACTCCAAGAATTGGCAACTTTGAAGTTCTGTTTAGTAAAATTAGCTAATAGCTGATAACTGATAGATACAAAATAACATAAATGTCATTTTAATTAATAAGAACAATAATATATTTTTGTTTAAATAATAAGGATATAAATAGAAGAAAAAGTTAAAAACTAAAAACTACAAGCTCAAAAGCTACTTTAAATAGCTTTTGAAAAAAAAAGCTAGTAAAATAACTACAAACTACTTCTTTGTCCCAAAATAATTGTCTCTTTAATTTAAAAAATTTGTCCCAAAATAAATGTCGTTTTACTTTTTTAATGCAACATTAATTGATTTTTACCAATTTTACCCCTAATTAATTATGTCTGCACTACTCTCAAGACATTAAATTTCATTTTACTTTTATGACAATATAAAAATAACCAATAATCATTAAAGACAATTTTATAAATGTGTTATATTTATTCTTTCACTCATTATTTTTTTAATCTGCGTGTCACAACCTTAAAAGATTTTTATTTTGAAACAGAGGGAGTAAAAGCTAAGTCGAATTACCAAATAGAATTTTTCATTAATGTGAGAGCTGTCTTTATTTTTTGTCTTACCAAAGAGACTCTGATAGCTGGTTCATAATCCCATAGAAAGGAACCAAGTCAAGTTGAACTGATTCAATTTTCGGTTCGGTTCCGAGAACATTGGTTGATCCAAATGAAGTGCTACTCCTACATCATATTTCAAGATTTCATTGATTTGGGAAACTTGGAAACTGTTTCAAGACACGAGATTCCCAAGCCTTCCATGCCCCTGCTAGCTATAAAAGCTCCCCTAGATCACCCTAATTGATTTGCATATTCACATGTTTCCCATTCTCCACTCACGCAAGCATTGGTTGCATACACGCAACATGAACACGATTTCCCACTTTTAGGAGCTTGCACTTTCACAATTCACACCACAAATTACATAAAGCAAAGTAAAAGTAATTAAAAAAAACACAGGTGTAATTATGATTAATGAGATCATTCATTGATCTTATCTTAAAGAGTTCACAACCAAAAAACATGTGAAAAATATCATGTTTGTTTACAACCTTGATATGAATAAACAACTAAGAAGTAGATAGAACAAAGTACAAAACTTTACAAAGAGACAAAAAACATTACAGATGGAAACTTCATCTATCACTATCTGCTTTTATATTATATACTGCTGGATATAAAAATGCAATGTTGACAACACTACTCACATGCTTACCAAGGATCGATGTTGATGTATTATGTCTTCCACCATGTGGTGGTACCACACTATTCACAAATGCTTACAACTATAAAACATTTTTTGTAACACTTCCAAACAAAAACTGAGTTAGGTAGTTGGAGACATAACTGTAACAAGTAATTATGTTCTTTTCTATTGATGTAATAGTATATTATAATTGTCTCACAGCAATGGTAGAGTATTTTCAAGAAAATCTACAACAAAGCTTTTATGGTATCTCACTAAATAAATTTGATTACAATCAACATAATGGTGTGTGCTACTGTTATTATCATGGACTAGGCCAGTGAAGTTTAACAGAAAGCATATTCAAGAGGGATAAACAAATTAGCAAAACTTGTAAGACACTAGAGTAAATTAAATATACAGTTAAAAAAAAAAGAGAAAAATGATTGATGAATGAACTACATTCATGAATGCCAGATTCCGTTCAACATGATGCGGAATCGGTTTGTGGATAGTTTCTTGACAAGTTTTTTAGCATCAGAAGAAACTTCAACTTCTGCAAGTTTGTCTATGTTTTTGGCAAAACCAGAACTAACAATCTTTTTTCTTCCACTATTGCAACTTGTCAATGACATTAAGATTGAGATTAAGTACTTCTTGTTACCTGAATTTCCATCTTCTGGATCAAGTAATTGCAGAAGCAGGGCTATGTTATGGTCGTCCTGCACGAATCGCTTCCGATTTCTAGGTACCATGACCATGCCAGAGAGTGCTTCGGCAGCCATTTCACGAACTTCGTACGATTTTGCATTCAGAAACTTAACAAACTCTGCCATGAAACCTGCGTCGCCCATTGCTTTCCTAGCCTGTTCGGAAGTTCCGCATAATCTAAACGCCACTTTTAATGCCAACTCTTGAATTGAAACTTCACCGTTTAGAACATAATATAGTAATTGATCCACAAATCCATAACTCATTAAAATACTTACAGAGCTGGATGAAGTAAAACACAAACTTTCAATAGCCCTCATTGCTACTACCTTTGTTTTCAAAGAATAGGACCATTTCGGATCCAAAACACGTAACAAAGCTCGGATTCCACCGTCTCTAATCACCTTTTCCCTAATCAACTCATCTCCAAAGGCAATATTCTGAATGAATCCTATGGAATTCACCTGAATCGCTTCCTCCTTCGATTTCACAAGCCTTATAAACGTCGCCACAGCATCCTCTTCAACCATAAACCTCTTAACCTCCTCAACACCAACAAGATTTCTCAAAACCCCACAAGCCGGACCAACCAAATCCCCTTTACAATCATCATTCCCACAAATATTCAACAACACAGTAACACCACCATGAGCAGAAACAGCCCAAGCATTATCCGAATTCTCGGTCAATTTCATCAAACACCTGGCGGCCGCAACTTTCCCCAATTCACTCCCACAATCCAAAACCCGAATCAACGGTGCAATCACACCAGCACTAACCAAAACCCCTTTATAAGAATCAAAACCAGCCACCACAAAAACAACCTTAGCACTCTCTTCCTGAATCTCCACCTCACCAGAACCCAAAAACCCCACAAGCACATGAACAACATCACCAACATCCACAACAATCACCTTCACATACTTCTCATCCTCAACCACAACCTCAAGAAGATTCCTCAAAGCCATTTTCTTCATACCCAAATCACCAATCTTCATCCTCGTCAAAATATCTCTCACATAAAACCTCATATCCTCCTTACAAGCCCCAAGACTCGGTTTTGAAACAACTAGCGCAAACCCATTTGTCAAAATCCCCGTTTTATATATCTCCGAAAGCTTCTTCGCAACCCCATCAAGTTTCGCAAACGCTACGTCCAAATCACTCTGCATCAACAACTTCCCACTATACGCAACATCGACGCAACGCTGACCTAGATCGTGACACTCATTTACAGTCGCAACTATCGAAGTCACTAACCTCGATAGCGACGGATTCTCACCGGAATCGCAATTCTCGGCAGCGATTAAACCCGAATGAAGCTCCTCAAGCTTGTTCCGAATAAGCTGCCATTTTCCGGCGAAGACTCTAATCGACAGGGAAAGAGAGAGTAATGAAGAAATGAGTTCCACAGCTCGCCGGAGACGGGAAGCTCCGGTAGGTACTCCGGCCAGTTTGGTTTCTCTATCTAACTCTTCATCACCCATTTCCGTCCTCAGTAGTTGCTGAAAATAACCATTTCCGGCGAAGAAAAAAATATTCCGCCAAAGAAGAGAAATATTCCGGCGAAGAAACGTTGGATTCAGTTATTGAAGAATCTGAGTAACGATTTTATGAAGAGATTTTAGAGAGAGAAAGTGTTAGAGAGAGAGAGAGAGTTTTTTTTTCTGGAGATCTAAGCTTATCCTTTAGTTACAGTTGATACGGTGATAGAAAGATGGAGTGTAGCAATGAATTGACTGAAATACCCTTTAGAGGTGTTGTTTATAATGTGTGATGTTTAATGATGGGTTTTGTTTGTTAGTGCAAATGTGTAATTAGAAGTGGTGAAAAGTGGAAGAGAAGTTGTTGGTGTGGATTTAAAAAAGATGGAGGTGGGATCATGTGAGGTGTGTGTTGAAGGGAAACAATGGAGGACATGAGAGAGAGAGAGAGATGTTATTAGGTGGTGTTTATTTGGAATTTAGGATGGAAAGTGGTTCTTCTAAACATTGTTTTGTACCTATGTGTATATGGGAATTGAATAAGATTAATTCAACATAGGAAAGAAAAGGATGTAACAAAGTTACTCAAATATAAAATGATTTATGTTTAATAAGTTTTTTAAAAATAAGTGAAATAATGACTTTTAGTAGTATAAAAACCATGTTAAGACTCCAAACTAGCTAATTGTATAATTCAAAAGTGTATAATTAAAAATAATTGTTCTCTTATATCAATTTAAATAATAGTTATATAAAGACATCAAATACAGATGAGTTCTTATGTAATAGAAAACATTAAAAGAATACCAAGCATTAATTGTAGAACAAAATATAAATTTGTAAGCGACAAACTTATAAAATAAAGTTGAAATCCACTGTAAAGAAGAAAATTATAAATTTTATTATAATAAAAGATACTTTTAATGAACACGTTAAATGTCTTTAAATACAAAAAAGAAAATTTAATGTGTTTTTAATCCAAGAAAAAAAGTCATAATAGACTTTTAATCTAAAACAAAAATAAAATACGAAATTGTAAGAAATATTAAAATGTTGTTTTTGGGCCTGAAAAACATTTGAATTGCTTAAAAAGCCTTCATATATCAGTTTCTTTCACCTCTGAAAAACACGACCCCGAGTTCTCTTCTTTATAAAGAGATTCATCTATTTAATATTCACGAATGTTGACAACATCAAAAATATTGGATATATACATGAAATCTGAGAGAGCTATCATATAAGCATTATCATGGACCTTTAAGGTTATTGTGAACGAGTCATACTTGCGTGGTTGTAGGTTGTTGTAAGTACTTACGCAAAAACACCATCACATTGTCTCTCATTAAAAAATTTAACTTTTTGGCATTTATCTCGCATATGAGGCAAATTATTTGGTAGTTCATCTATGGTTAATTCCTTGAAATTTTCTAGGATCCCTATCACTTCTTCTGAAATTATTTTTTTTCCTCCTTTATAACACTCATCAGCCCTTCACTCACCACATGATAGAAAATTTTAATTTCTTTAACAGACTCATCAACCTCTTTTTTACTTTTTGTCATCACCAAGAAACTAGACTTCTTTCTTCTTAAATTATTATCAAAGTGCAAAACAGCAGCCATGGAAATTTTATGTGTGCCTCATGTAAACATCATCATGTTTCATGTCCTCGATAAGTGATATCATTATCAAATTACCAATGCCTACCAAATAAAATATGACTGACATCCATATCTAGAACATCACAAAATATCTCTTCTCTGTAATGTTTTCTGATGGAGATAAGAACTCTACGGGCTAGTGTTACTCGAACTTGGGAGCCCTTGTTTAACCAATCGATGGTGTATGACTTATCATTGGGTTCTGTGAATAACTTCAAATAATCTACCAATTTTTGTGATACCACATTCTTCAGGCTGCCACTATCTACAACCAGATTATACACCTTGTTCTTAATAGAACATCTTTCATCTTTAGATGCTAGTAAAATTCTTTGCAACATAAAATTTAACCTCTCACCAGATTCTTCTTATATAAACTCAACCCCTGCATATTCATCATTCTCAATTGTATATCATACTCTTTCCTCTTCATTTTTCCTTTCTTCTGCAACAACAACGACTCTCCTTGTTGATAAATATTTTATCTATGACACCTTCCATTACAATGATAACATGTGTATCTAGTGGGTTTAGCATATGGATTATTCTACCTCTGTACTAGTGCTTTACCCTGCTAGATACCGCTAGGGCTACTAGTCCCCTTATTCTCAAGGTTGAAATTCCTGGTTGTTGCACTAATTTCTTTGTCTCTTACATATTCAAAGTTATTCTGAGGAGAATATAAAAAAAGTGAGAAATTTAAAGGGGTTTTCTCCATCAATTATGTCTTTAAAGCTAGACTAGATGCCTTAACTACAATTCATACAGTCTACAAATCCATCTTCTCCTACAATGATCTCTTTAGGTCACTGATGTATCGAGCAACTTTCTGGCTCTTTCATTCTCCTAATTCATTGTGCTCAAAAATATGCAGAAACTTAGTTGAGTATTTTGTTATAATTATCTTTTCCTGAACACGGTCAATATACTTCTTATAAAGAATCTTCTTATAATTCTCTAGTAAAAATTGCTCCAACATCAACTGTTTCATTTTTCACCAATATCTGACCGACATTTTTATTTGCCTCTGTATCTGAACAACAAGCTTATCCCACCAGACAACAGTAGTAATTTTTAGCCTGATCACCACCATATTAACTTGTTTATTCTCAAGGATGCCCATAACCTCGAAGAACCCGTCGACCTCGATTCCTATGACCAACTGCCTCTTTCTCGTAGGGTTCTTCTTCTTTAGAACTCGAATTTTCAGCAATAACAACACGGTGATTGTTTCCAACCCACGTAACCCTAACATGATTTCCTCTCATGTCTCTTCAATGATTATCGTTGTTGTTGGCGTTGTTCATCTCATTTTCTAAATTCGGCATCTGTCAAGTAAAATCAATTCGAGTCGTGATAAAAATCGTGATAATTCCTTCAAGATTTGCTATAGTCATTGGTTGATCTGCCATGTTTGTCAAGATACGAAAATAAAAGGAGAAAACTTGCTCTAATGCCAATTAACACAGTCAGAAACACGACAGAAATAACAAGCACTAACCCTAGAATAAAACACAAGTTTGCAAGCGAGAAACTTGTCTAATGAAGTTGTAATCCATTATAAAGGAGGAAACTCAGAATTTTATCATAATGAAAGATAATCCTTATAGACATGCCAAAGGTCTTAATAGGTTTTTAATCCAAAACATAAATAAAATAGAAAAAAGAAAACCTAATGCACTTTTAATCCAAAACAGAACTAAAATAGGAAATAGCGGAAAACATTAAAATGACATTTTCGGGCCTGAAACAAATTTGGTTGGCTTAAAAATCCTTCATACATTAGGTTCGAATCTATAGCATCTCACTTATTCATCTTTAAAACATCAATTTTAGTGATTAGACCATGTTTGATTCTTCTAAAGTATAATACTATGTTTGATTCTTCTAAAATAAAATTGATTTTATCTCTAGAGTTTATTCTACTTGAAACTAAAATTTGAAGTTTTTGAGTTTAAATATGACTTTTACACACTAAATTTTGTTATCCAACTTATTTTTATATAAATATGTCTAAACATAAATCATTTTACATATAACTCACTTTTAGTCCAAATCAATTTTAATTATCATTTATTTGGTCAACGCATAACCAAACACATCTAAATATCTCAAAAATCACTTTTAAAGATAATTCAGATAACTTAAAAAGTCTTCCTACATCATATTCGAACTTATAACATCTCACTTATTCATATTTAAAAGGTTCTGTAACTAGACTATGTTTGATTCTTCGAAGGTAGAATACTATGTTTGATTCTTCTAAGATAGAATTAATTTTATCTCCAGAGTTTATTCTACAGGAAACTAAGATTTATAGTTTTTGAGTTTAAACACGACTTTTACACACTAAATTTTTTTATTCAACTTACTTTTACACAAATATATTCAAGCATACATCATTTTACATCTAACCCAGTTTTAATCCAAATCAATTTATTTGGTATTAATTTTCTTCAACGCATAATCAAACACATCTAAATATGTCAAAAATCAATTTTAAAGATGTTTCGGATGGCTTAAAAAGCCTTCACACATCACGTTCGAACCTACAATATTTCACTTATTCATCTTTAAAAGGTGAATTTCAGTAACTAGACTACGTTTGATTCTTCTAATACTATGTTTGATTATTCTAATATAGAATTGATATTATCTCTAGAGTTTATTCTACATGAAACTAAAATTTGAAGTTTGAGTTTAAACATGACTTTTACACACAATTTTTTTTTATTCATCTTACTTTTATACAAATATATCCAAACATAAATCATTTTACATATAACTCACTTTTAGTCCAAATCAATTTTACATATCATTTATTTGGTCAACCCATAACTAAACACATCTAAATATGTCAAAAATCAATTTGAAAGATAATTCGGATGACTTAAAAAACCTTCCTTCATCGGTTCAAACTTATAACATCTCACTTATTCATATTTAAAAGGTTCAATAACTATACTATGTTTGATTCTTCGAAGATAGAATACTATGTTTGATTCTTCTAAGATAAAATTGATTTTATCTCCAGAGTTTATTCTACATGAAACTAAGATTTATAGTTTTTGAGTTTAAACACGACTTTTACACACTAAACTTTTTTATTCAACTTACTTTTACACAAATATTTTCAAACATAAATCATTTTACATCTAACTCGCTTTTAATCTAAATCAATTTTACAAATCAATCTATTTGGTATTAATTTTCGTCAACACATAACCAAACACATCTAAATATGTCAAAAATCAATTTTAAAGATAATTCAGATGGTTTAAAAAGCCTTTATACATCAAGTTTGAACCTACAACATCTCACTTATTCATCTTTAAAAGGTGA